AATATATTGAAATTTACGTTTTTAATCATGTTTTCGGCATTAACCGAATTATCAAATAACATAAAAATTCATCAACTTATATTTTGATAGTATCTAATAGTCTATACCTTATAAACTTACTTTTACTTTTATAATATCCAATTTATATTATAAGTTTTTGTATAACATTAATATAATATAAAGTCGCCGGTAAAGCCCTTGTCGCCGGTAATAGTGTCGCCGCTAAAGGGTTGTCACCCGAATCCGCACTTTCCCCCTCTATTGCATCTCAACCGTTCGATGAGATATCCAATCCAACGGGTGGGGGTGCCTTATCCTGTCTAACCTAATATCGGCGATATAGATGTCACCGCTAAAGGTTAAAAAAAGTCGCCGCTAATAGTCCGCTAAAAATGACGCGGTACCCTTCCCTCCAGTTTGTCGCCGCTATTACTCATTGTCGCCGGTAAAGCCCCTGTTGTCGCTGCTAAAGGTGTCGCCGCTATTGTCTGTCATAGATAAAAAAAAAACGCACGCAGATAACCTCCCTTCTTCATTTTCCTTTCTGTTTGCTTCCAATTTCCTTCACCATCTCACTGATTTCCTCTTCAATCTGCTTCTTCCAAGCAAATTTCTCCCCACATTGTTCCAAGCAAGTGTCTCTAGGTGTGGTTAAAGTTTTGGGATCAATTTCTACCTCCATTTCTTGAAGAAAGGTAAGTTTTTTTGATGATTTCATTTTTATTTTGTATGAATTTCGATTTGTAGCTTTGTGTAGTGATTGAATGATAATAAATTGTTCATATTCTTGTTTTTGGTGGTGTTGTTTTGGATTAGAAACAAGTTATTCAATTTTTTGTTTGTGGTTATTGAATTGCAATTAGTTGTGTAGCTTCAAGTTGTATTTATATGTGAAATTATGTGAAAATTGTCATATGTGAAAATTAGATTGTATATTCCGTATTTGTTTGAATATATGTGAATTTGGTATATATATTCCAATGTATGTGTGTTTGATGTATATGTGGTATATTAGTATTTGGTAGAAATTATATGTATTTGTTATAAGTAGAATGTTATTGTGTGTATGTGAATGTATGTATGTTTGTTGTAAATGTGATATATGATTGTAAACTTTTGTATTTGATATAAATAGGATGTTATTATGTATATATGTGAAATTATGTGTATTTGTTTTAAGTAGGATGTTATTTTGTGTGTATTTGTATTTGGTGTATATGTGGTATATGTATGTAAAAGTATGTGACTTTCATCTTCTTATGTATTATATAAAACTATGTGGTTTTGGTATAAGTAGGATGCTATAATTGAAAAAAAAAAAAGTACATTATTTTTATAATTTGAAAAAAAAAAACACAAAAAAAAACTATAAAATTGTTTAAAAACTTATGTACAAAAACTAGAAAGCTTCTAGTTTTTACCTAAGCTAACTCCAAATTAATTAACCAATAAGTTATATAGTTAACTTATAATTGGAAAAAAAACATCTAAAAAAATTATAAAATTGTTTAAAAACTTATATATATTTTAATCTCGACGGTAAAAAAAAACAACACAACAACATAATATGTATGTAAAAGTATGTGAATTTCACCTTCTTATGTATTATGTAAAATTATGTGGTTTTCTTATAAGTAGGATGCTATAATTGGAAAAAAAAATAAAAATACATTATTTTTATAATTTGAAAAAAAAAACACAAAAAAAACTATAAAATTGTTTAAAAACTTATATACAAAAACTAGAAATCTTCTAGTTTTTACCCAAGCTAACTCCAAATTAATTAACCAATAAGTTATATAGTTAACTTATAATTGGAAAAAAAACACAAAAAAAATTATAAAATTGTTTAAAAACTTATACATATTTTAATCTCGATGGTAAAAAAACAACACAATGTCTCACACGAAAATGTAGACGATGTCGATGTACTTCAAAATATCTCTTCATCCGATGCTCCACTTTTTATCGATTTCAGCATGTACTTTCAAAACATTCCTAGAGTCATTGTTGATGTAGAAAGTGCATCTGAAGTTCCTCCGCCAACTGGTAGAGTCAATGATGTTTCTGATTGCGATACTGATTACGATGACACCAATTCTGACTATGATACCGAAGAAGACATTGAAGGATATGACGAAGATTCTGATTAGAATAGTTCTTATGTAATGTGTATTTGTAATATGTGTTTGTAATATGAACTTTATTTAGATTTCTAGTTTAAATAGAAATGCTTATTCCTATCTAAATGTTTATTCCTATCTAAATGTTTATTTCTATGTAATGTGTATCTATAATAAAAATTGTATTTGTATATCTTATAATTTTTCAGGAAATGATGAGAGTGTGACTGTGGTTTATGTTTACCCTGGTTGCTGTCATGGGTCGTGGACATGGGGGAGATGGAGCTGAGGACCCACCTTTCCCAGGTGGTAGAGGTCCTGGCCAGCACGAGCAGGACGATAAGTCTTATCATGAATTTTTATTTACTATTTGACTTCTCAGACGTTTCTAATAATTTTTAATTACATTTGTAGTTGAGGAACGTGCCCGAAGGAAAGTTCGAGGAAAAGCAAAAAATATAAAGCTTGAAAAAGCAATCTTGCAGAACCAGGGGAAACCAATAGGCATGCAATATGATACAGATATCACATTTAATCCCGTAGGAGAGGCGGGAGACATGTTTTCCCGAGAAGTTGGGAAAACAATGTGGCAGATGGTCCCTTTTGACAAATGGAGTTGGAAAAGAGTTTCCCCTGATATAAAGGACATTGTATTACAACATTTAGCGGTAATTATTTATTTAAATATATTTTATAGGTTTAACTATAATTGTTTTTTACTTGATTAACTTTTTTTTTTTTTTATTGTAGACAAAGTTTGATCCCAATCAAATGTACCAGGATGCACAAGCTACTCTATTGACAGAGAGTTTTCAAGCAGCCTTGTTAAAAAGTTTTCAAGAGCGTAAAGTCGACGCAAAAGAATATTTCAAGATGGTTGGAGGGTATGAAGATATCCCGAGAGCATTGGCAAATCCTCCGGATGGTATGCTTGTTTATAACTGGGAGAAGACAGTTGAGTATTTTCAAACTGACGAACACAAAATTGCTTCAGAAAGGAACAAAAAAATCCGTGAAAAGCAAACAACTGTGAATCGTGGGGGTTCGAGCTCGTATAACAGTACTTGCTATACGAAGGTACCGTAAGATATATGTAATTATTTATTTAAAATATAATCTAATTTTTAAACTTAAACAGAACCTTAAGAGAGTGGAAACATTTCGCAAAGCTCATACCGATAAGAATGGTGTATTTGTTACTGCTGAATCGGAACAACAATATGTAAGTATTTAATTATAATTTTATCATATATTTAAATGTTTATTTATACTTAATTGTTACTCACTTTTGGGAGTTACAGAATAGGTTAGTTGAAGAGCTGCTAGAACAAACTCAAGGTGAAAGTGAGTTAACGCCAACTCAAGAAAGAGCTACGTTCGAGAAAGTATTAGGAGAGCGACGTGGCCACATTAGAGGCATTGGCCGCAAACCTTCTGGTCTCCCGACGATTCCACAGCCTTCACAACCATCACAGGTAAAATAACAATCTACTTTAGCATCGTAAAATGCATGTTGATTTGGTAGTTCTGGTTTTGTGGTGGTTATTTGCTAAAAAGTTTGGTAATTTGATTTTTGTCCCAAGTGTAAAATATAACAATGTACTTTGGTTTTTTATCTTACTTTAAAAATAACAATGTATTTTAATAGTTTTTGTTTATGTTTGACGATCTAACTTACAAGTTTATATATATTGTTATTAATTATGTAGTTGGAAAATCTTCGTGCAATGCTCGCCGACCCGACATGTATGGATGAACTTTATTTGTTTTTTCAATCCCAAAATAATCAAGGAAACGATGGGAACGACAATGAGGGTATGTAAGAATGGGTTTTATTTGCATATGTTATCTCGTTTTGCTACTTGTTAGATTGTAAAAATTTTGTTATTTTGCTACTCGGATATTATGACTTTTGATATTTAATTGTATTTTGGATGTTTGTTTGTAATTTGCATTGACACTATTATGTTTGATATTTAATATGATGTTTGTTTTGTAATTAGCATCGACACTATTGGTTTTGATATTTAATCGAATATTGTTATTACCGGCGACACTTTTACCTGCGATATTATCACCGGCAACGAAAATCATTAATAAAAATGAAAAAAAATTACCAGCGACGCTTTTACCGGCGACGCTTTTGCCGGCGACGCTTTTACCGACGACATCTGTCATTACCGGCGACAACATTATTAGCGGCGACAATAGTTATTAGCGGCGACATACTAATAACGGCGACTATTATTATTAGCGGCGACAAACTGATCAATAGCGACGAGGCAGTAGGGGCGATTCAGTACCGGCGACGTGTCGCCGCTATTAGTATTACCGGCGACTTTTGGGACTTTTACCGGCGACAAAAGTCGCCAGTAATGGCCTTTTTCCTTGTAGTGTTTTCTTATGTCCGATAATATTTTTTTTTGGATAAAATAAGAAATAAGTTGTTTTGAATGAGCTATTAATAAACAATATTGAACTAATAAACTTTGTATTACACGATTTAAATTACACCAAAACATCTAAGGTTTCATATATGAACTTTCAAATATTAAACATTGAAATTAAGAATGAATTCATACAAAATATATCATTATACATAAATGTCATCAAGAATTTTAAAATAAATCGATTAGTAAACATGATATTTAATTTTAATTACATATTTTGCAAGGCATACGTTCGACTTTATGTTCGTACGCCAATAATCCTCTTCCTTAATTTGTACCTAAAAATTAAGGTGAATAGGAATATAAAATAGATATTACTAAGTATTAATATAAATAATTAAAAAAGGGTATGTAGATCTCCTACCACCGGTTAAAGACAACATACCTCTCTAGTGTTAACGATTCCTATGTGAAATTGAAGTGGTCATTCTATGTACACCTTGTTTCTAATTACATAAATAAATATGAGTAACCAAACATAAAAATGTTATCTTTATGTAGGAAAAATATTTTAGTTAACTAACAAGTTAAATAATATAAGTTTAAGAGTTAGGAGTTTCAAAACATTAATATTTTTGTTAATCAATTAATTAAGTAACACATGTTGAAATTTTCACAATCATTATTAAAAAGCATTTGAAATATCATTTTAAATGAATTTTTGTTGGAGTGTTTTGACCTCTATTATAATATATATATATATATATATATATATATATATATATATATATATATGAGTTTTAATTAATTATCTTT